CCCCCCCCCCTTCAAGACTCACCGCCATATTAAAAAAAAAGAAAAAGAAAAAAGCGAATTCTCGCGTATTGTGCTGGTTCACCCATACAATCAGAGGTGAACTGTTTCATCTCCGGCCTGCAGAACAGCTCTGCACCGGCTCCTGAACTCTGCAGGGACCTTTCACCTTGTGACATCTAGAGGAGGTTCCAAGATGGCGCCAAGGAGTACGGACGTCTTGTAAGTAGCTCCTGAAGGAATCCGTGAATATATGTGGAATCGCGAGTGATAAAAAAGTAAATTCACGTCCAATTTATTCAAGTAGTGTCCAATGTGCGATTGTGATAATTAGTTCTTTTCTAATTGTCAGTATATAGAGGAAATGGGCTTTTAAAGAGAGAAGCGTCGGTCGTTGGTTAGAGTTGGCGTCGGCTTCGCCATCGCGACTTGTGACTTGGAAAAACCTAAACAGAGCATTGATTAATCGACATAGGATAAAGTTTAATACAAAAATAGTAAATCAAGAGCGTAGGAAGACTAAAAGTGCTCGTAAGAAGTGAATAAAGGGGGTTAAGTGATCTATTTGGCGGGAAGCATAGCGTCGGTGCCTTCTGCGCAGGCGTGGCCGTATAGGAACAGAGGGCGCTGAGCCGCCGGAGATTCCATCTAGCTGTCACAATAGTGAACCCGGCCAAAGGGATAAACACGCCTCCTGGAGGGTAAAGCATTAAGTAGAGCTCACAAGCAGTGATTGGTAACAAGCAACAGGTAATAGAACCTTAAGAATTAGGTTGCGGAGCAGAATATCTCACACCACAGGAAGAATAGTAAACCAACTAAATTAGTAACAAACACTGGCATGGTCCGCCAACCTGCGGCTTTGTCCGCTTATTTATAATAAAGAACAAAGACTTGCAAAAGGTCAGGAGCGTCAGCTCTTAAACGTATGGCGTTAATCGCCTTATCCTAGGCACTCACCTGCCGGTGTCACCGTTAATTGTTAATTCTATTCAACAATCGGTAACGGCGACGGGCTACAATACACATAAACCTTACGTGCTCTGCAGGACTCCCTCCTTGCCGACGATCGAGGGTAGAGTTGTACCGAGCTCTATCCGACCGTGTGAGGGAAACAAGTGAGTCTGACCTCAGTTCATAAAATGTAGACTAAATAGGCAACCAAACGAAGGGAACCCGTATATTAATATAAAAATTGTAATGTAAAAACCCCAAACTGTATCAATTGTCAACAACAATTAAGAATAAATTATAATCACATCAAACACATATAACGCTTTCTAACTCATGCCCGAACTAATAAGTAAGGATAACGAATAAACACCGGCAATACCGTCCAAAGGTAAGTCACCTCGGATAACAAGACAGGGGGGCAAGTTAGACCGCCTGCTAGTGCAATGCCCCAGCAAGGGATAGATTAAGCAAACGAATTTAGTCATAAAAGGGTAGCTCAGCTCAGGGAAATAGCCGAGGACTTGAGTTTTTAATTCTGAGAGGACCTCATCTATTGGAGTGTCAGGTAGACCCTTGAGTACAGCGCTTAATGCTTTTTCATTTTAATTTGTGAAAGTATAAAAAGAATGATTACCCTCACGAAGAAAAGTTATAATTTTTTTGTGAGATTCAATATTAACGAATTGGATTCTAATCCCTTCTTTCAACAATTTAAGTTTAAAAGTTTTGCCACATAGCTCAATGAGCTGTCTTTCGAATACAGAAGCTGAACAAGCAAAATTGGAAACGTATATCGGTGGTATCTTATTAGATATCTTTCTAATTGGGGCTTCCGCCGCAGCT